GTGGTTAGAGCGCTTGCCTGACAAGCAAGAGACCTGGGTTTGATTCCCGGCAGAGCAAAACCTTGGTCACTCAATCCATGACTGTATGTGGGACACTGCTGTGTGCAATTGGCTTCTGCATTTCCCCCAGAAATATACAGTGAATTCATTTTACAGTATATTCTATGAAGCACTTTGAGACATCTAGAAGACATGAAATGTACTATATCAAATGCAAGGATTATGGACGTCCTCCCAACGTGAAAGGCGCTCTATAAATGTAATTTTGTTGTTGTATTATTATTATATTATATATGTTAGCACTTTGAAATAGGAGAATGCTGAATTCAAGGTGCTGTTCTTCAGATGAGACAGTAATACAAAGTCATGGCTGCCTCTTCAAATGTACATTAAAGATAATATGGCTCTTCCGAGTATCCCTCATTCCTGTTCCCAATCACTCAGATAAGTAATTTGTTGGTCACTTCATGGCTGTTTTGGGGGCATTGCTTTGGACAGATTGGTTGCTATGTTTATGAATGAATGCACAGTAACTATATTTTACAGAAAATTCTGTGAAGCATTTTGAGACATTCTGATATGATGAGCCAAAATATAAAATGCAAAGATAATTTGAATAATTATAATCCTGCCTCTCCAGGCCTCCGCTCTACCGACACCAACCATATTTCAGTGAGTTTGAATAATGCAATGCACCAACCAAGAGGTATAACCCATAAAACCCGCCCCAAACCCTCCTCTTCATGCCTTCGGCCACCCTCCTACCGCTACCCTCCTTGCCCCCCACCTCTCCTGATCCCAACACCCTCCTCGGGTCCAGAACCCTGACCCCCGGGTTCAGACCCCTGTCCAGCCCCTTTGGACGTCCTCCCAACTTTAAAGGCACTATACAAATGTAATTTGTTGTTGTTGTTGTTAAACTAACCAAGGAGCTCAGAAGCATAGAAAGACAAAAATATTTAGACAAGGAAAAATAACAAAAAATGTCAACTGTATTCCCTTGCCTGTATCTATCTACAGCATCATTACAAGTGGAGTATTAAAGTAAGGCAATGACAAAATAACAAAAGGTGAATCACATCTTGGAAAAAAATGAACTTTAAGAATGAAGAGGGAATTGTCTTCTCGTGTTATTGAGAACATTTATCAAGTGCCTTGGAAAGCTCTTTTATGTGAAAGCCACTATAGAATAAATGCAAGTTGTTATTGTTTTTGACATGACAAACAAAATGCGTGTAACATAGCAAAGCTACAATACAATTTCCTGCATCGTCTATGTTAACTTGTCATTGGGCACCTTTGTAAACATATTTTCATCAGAATTTCTCAGAATAATATTTCTCTTTTTTTAGTCAATCTGTTATTTTGAAGGGTGTCTTGCAGAGAGAGGTTAAACTGGATAATGACTGATCCAATGGCATATAGTTTTGAAAAACTAATTTCAAATGTATAAAATCACGCTGACACAGCATGTAAACTATGGATATTTGTTTCTTTAAAAAAAGTTGTGTAAGTAGTTAAAACTGCAATGACCAATTTCCTTTGTAATGTCACTAAATTACAGTACAATAGTGGTTGGTTGGGGGTGGAGTATGCCACCTCCAACTGATGGGACAGTTATTGTGAAGCTGCATGTATTGGAGAGAGTGTGCACCATCTACTGACCCAGTCAGTTCATGAAGGTCATGATACCATACTCTTCCTATCTAGTTATTCTCCCATCCTCTCCTGAAGTTGCTGACACATGATGAGGTAACGCTTGACAAGCATTCATTGTGCCGTTTTGTAAGCTTAGGCAGTGAGTGTTGTATGGCTGCCAAATAGAAAAGGATAAGGGGACATCACATCATTGTCCAACATTCACCCAATGTATAAATGCACTTAGCTCCAGCAGAGGTCATTGAGTATCATTCAGGAATAGGAACTGGGCTGATTTTCCCCCTTCCTGACTCAGAGGCATTAAGAAGATCAGTTAAAGCACCCCAACTGCTGCCGATGGTGGCATCAACAAACTCAATCTAGGCTGGGTATTAAACCTGTGCTGTGGTCTTTTGTTTTGGTCAGTTGTGTGTTTGACATGCAATAACAAACTGCATTTATATAGCACCCTTCACATGGACTAGTGTTTTGGAGCCAGACTGAGAGTCATATATATATATATATATATATATATATATGCCATGGCCTTCTTGATCTATATATCATGCCATTTTCTAATATATTCTATAAGTGAGATAATTGTGAGTTATCCAAGGTACAATTAAATCATTTAAAAATATGCATACATTAAATGACATATCTTAGACAAACATATTAATCAACTGTGTTTCGATTTTTTACACTACTACAGATGTTTATTTCATAAGAACATAAGAAATAGGAGCAGGAGTAGGCCATTTGGCCCCTCGAGCCTGCCTTGCCATTTAATAAGATCACGGCTGATCTTCTAACCTATTTCTATTTACCCGACTTTTCCACATATCCCTTTATCCATTTAGTTTTTAAAAATCTATCGATCTCAGTCTTGAATATGTTCAATGATTGAGCATCCACAGCCTTCTGGGGTAGAGAATTCCATAAATTCACTACCCTCTGAGTGAAGAAATGTTTTCCCAACTCATTTCTAAAGGGCTGACCTCTAATCCTGAGACTATGACCTCTAGTCTTAGATTCTCCAACCCGGCGAAACAGCCTCACACTATCTACCCTGTCAAGACCCTTAAAAATCTTATAGGTTTCTATAAGATCACCTCTAATTCTTCTATATTTTAGAGAATATAGGACTAGACTACTCAACTTCTCCTCATAGGTCAACCCCTCAGCCTAGGTTCATGTCCTTAAAAAGAATAAGAGATATGACATTTTTGTGGTCTTCCACGTTGCTATGATCAGTGGATGTGTCTACCATGATGTGAGTCTTGGTGAAGCAATAGGATGTATTCACTGTTTCTGATTGGTTGTACAGAAGCTGAAGAACATGGAAAGCCCTTTCTGAAATAAATTACATCATGGATCAGGGAATAGCTGCACTCGGGACTTTATGGAAGGAAAGGGATTGCATTAGAAGTCTCTATCTGATTGAAATAACAATGCAAAAAGCAAAATTGAATGCTATTTTGTAAAGGTATCTGCTCTCCAAGAGGCTCTGCAAGCAGGCTTAGTGGAATACAAACGAGTGAAGTTGAGATCTGTGCAATGTCTGAGGCACAATTGTGTCTCAAATCATCAATTTTATATGATAATGAATAACACAGATTATATTTCCTCACAATCTCCCATTTAAAGACTTGAGGGCCTTCACAGTAAAGATATGCATTCCTTACTCTGATCCCCCAATGTTGTATCGTTCCGCTCTCCATTCCCACATAACAAATTGCACATTCTATTCAGACATGACTTATACTTCCAACAATACCACCAAAGAGGAATGGCAAAGACCACGGCATTTGGTGAATTAAAGTTCTAAGAACTTACAAGGCATAAAATATGAGTAAAGAGAAGGGGATCATATGCAGTAACATTTCGATAACATATGTTTCATATTGACTCCTCTGAAGGATCAGTTGGTAATGTCGTTGCCAGGTATAACATAAACTATGAAGACCCAGAAATTCCCTTGTTCAATCTCCAGTTTGTTGAGTTAGAAGATCTCAACTAGGATGTTGGTATAGACACTACATTTAGCATCAGTATCTGTGGATTATAGGGGAGTGGGGGGAGACATTCCACAGTTCCAACTTGTGTTTTCAATGATCCTTCATGGAAAACAAACATGTAGGGATAGAATCAGACTGGAGGAGTGAAGAAATAAAACCAGATGGTATTCCTTCCCCAAATGAAGTGGGAATTTGCTTTGCTAACTGCCAATAGTCCAAATCTCTGCATCCTGTGGCTCAGTGCTAGTTATTCCCTCATGTAACGTTTACCCTGCAAGTAATTTGCTTTTCTGAAAATTGTTGAGTTTTATTTTCAGGTGCAGTATGTTGGGGGTTGACAAGATTCACTGATGTTTGAAGAGCACATGGTTTTAAGGATTTTCTCACAATCTCATGAAAAAATATCCCTAATTTTAGACTTAAAGAATTCCGTATTGTCATTTTATATGAATATGTTAAGTGATCTATGATTTTTGTGTTCAGTATAGTAAATGCAAGCATGGTATAACATTCAATAATTCTGCTAGTTAACTCATTCCCAAACAAAAATTTAACTCCTAACATCTGAGTTCAAATTGGAAGCCAAATTTGAGATGTGGGTTTATGCATTTTAACCAGTCATACAGTTGAACATTGTTTCGGAAAGCTAAAGACTCCCATCCAGCATTTCACCAGGCGAAATTCGTCACCAAAAATACATAGTCAATTCACTTTACAGTATATTCCCCGGTTCCTGAATTGGTCTTATCCATGGGATTCTCAGTGAGCAGGGAACTTTAAAAATGGTTGCTGGGAAAATAATCTTATGTCTTCTTCTCTGAGAATCTCAGTGCAGTGCAGAGCTGCATGATGCTCTCCTGGGGCAGAGTACAACAATGAGTCATATAATGAGAACACGCTGCAAATGTAAGACTAGAGGAAAGAGAAAATATAAAGGGGGAGAAGATCTATACAACTGGATGTGAGGGAGAAAGAAAAGTAATACAGGAAAAAAGAGAAATCATTAAATAGAAATGCTGCAAAACAAACTGGGAAAATAACGTGAAGTGTATACAGAAAAATGTGGAAGAGGTTTGATGTTTGAGGTTTTGTGTTGAGCTTTCAAACTGGTGCCTGAGAAAATATCCCCCCAGATAAACCACCTAAACAGCAGGGAAGGTACGAGGAAGAAAGAATCAACCACAGTGATAATGGCAGTAGAATACAGAAGCTATGCTTTGGCTGCTGAACACTGCTATTTACCAGCCTACTACCAAACACGTTATGTAAATGTTAGAGAGCCAGGCTTCAGCTGTTTATTAGCTTGATCCAGCTGGCATGGCAACAGTCGTGTGATCTGATGCAAACACACGGGAGTCTCCACAGCTTTGCATCCCAAGCTGAGCACGATTTGCTGCAATCGCCAACAGAATCCAGACACTCAGTTGCAGAATTATGCACCGCGCCTACCAGCCGATTCTCCCAAGTGGAAGCAAATACCTTCAACAGAAATGGGATCGCGCTTATTACGAGGAGCACCGGCGAAAGGTAGTGTAGGATGGTCACTGCAGGCTCCCCCTCACTGTAATCAGTGCCTCGGTCCTGCAGCCCTGGGTACTGAGCTGGGAAGGCAGCATACAAGTGAAATTGGCAAGTTAACCAGGCGGTAAAGGAATAAAATCACTTCTTCTGCTTTTTCAAAGGGTGTGATCCAATCTCTGGGACTTTCCAGTGTGACTGTTGATTTTTTTTCTTCAGCGGATCAGAAAATAACAACAACAACAAAATTACATTTGTATAGCGCCTTTCACGTCGGGAAGACGTCCCAAGGCGCTGGACAGACAGAGTTACAGACCGAGCTAGGGGTCGGGGTGGGGGAGGGCAGGGGGGGAAACAGGGAGATCGAAAGCACGGTCAAAGAGGAGGGTCTTGAAGGTGGCTCGTGAGGGGGCGAGACAGAGGGACTGCGAGATGGAGTTCCAGAGGGTGGGTGCAGAGTGACGGAAGGCCCGCCCGCTGATAGTGGGGTGAGCAAAGCGGGGGACATGGAGCAGGCCGGAGTCCGCTGAGCGGAGCGAGTGAACAGTATGATAGGGGGTTGAAGAGGTAGGGGGGAGCAAGACCTTGGAGGGCTTTGAAGTTGAATAAGTAGGTTTATATCGTCACTTTTTTAAACAGGATGTCTGAGAGAAGCAACTTGTCAATCATGGTCTTTCAAATATCGCACTTGAGTGTTTTATTATTTTATTCATTTATCTTCCATGTTGTTCAGTAAATATCTCAAATAAGACACCGAGGACCTCCTGTCTATGCTGGGATCATATATGCTATTTGTTTTGTAATATATCTGCCACTGTGTTGTACACTGTTTTTTTGCCTTCAGTCAATTCACTTTACAGTATATTCTGTGAAGCGCTTTGAGACGTCTTCAAAATGTGATAAGGCGCTAAAATGCAAGGATTAATATTATTAACCATACTATATTATCAGTAGCTTCTAGGAGGTATCAGGCAGACCTATTTCTTAGATAACTTCACTGTAAATACTGATTCTAGTAATCTGCATTTGATTTTAAAATGTTCCTTATACAGACATGGAAGGATCCCAATCTGTACAGACTTTCCTGATATCTAATTGGAAGGGAAAAGTCTGCCAGGATGACTGCTCCATATCCGTGTCCAGATACCCATGACTGAAAAGTGCATCAATGAGGACAATATGAGGCTCGGTTGGGAGACCTTCCATGTAGTTAAATGCTCAACTGAACCTTCCTGGTTCACATCTGAAGAATGAACACTCGAAGGAAGTATCAGGTTTATCTGGAAGTGTGGAAGGTCTACCAACAAGTGTCAGCAAGAGTCAGCACCTTAAAGAGAGAGGGAAAGTAATTGGTGTTGAAGCCTGTAGTGAAAATAGATACTACAGTTGAAAGGGAGTAGGTGGAGCAGAAAGTGGTGTAAGTGGTGAATGGTTGATTAGGATTAAGAATTAAAAGGACACTTAGAGTTCAGCTTCAGCCAGATACACAGAATAATCTTCTCAATGTCAGAATTAAGAATCACACAGAATGTTATAGCACGGAAACCTGAAAAGCATAGGTAACTAGTCTGTGCCTGAAAGAGTTATGTGTGAAATGAGTTTTGACTGTTTTAATCCTGTATGTACTGTAGGTGATAAAGACAAAGGCACAAAACTGCCTCTAATTCAACAACAAATTGTGATCTCTCAGTGAAGTCATGAGCATCATTGCTTTGGTAAATACAATGGATTATACTAATGCAATGGTAGATGTTTTTAGATTGTTAATGTCAGATTGTTAATGCCATGTCGGGATCAAATTGACAGGCCATGTAGTATTTATCACATTGAATGGGCCAGAGACAGACCACCCCTCATGCCCCACACATCATTATAAATGGTCAGGTCAAGTAAGACAGAAGCTCCAACAGAAGTGTATTAATGCTAACATCCTTTTCCTTCAACCCCATAATGGGAATCCTATTATAAACACAGAATAAAAAGTTTACCAGAGCTAGTAAAAGCACCTTTTAGACCTGTGATAAAAATGACAATCATTTCTTCTGTTTCTCCCAAACGTAATAGGAACATAGAAACTGGAGTAGGCCATTCTGCCCCGTCAGCCTGTTACGCCATTCTATAAGATCATGGTTGATCTATATCTCAACTCTCACTGCATATCTGCCCTCACCCCATATAATAATAATAATAATCCTTGCATTTGATATAGCGCTTTTCACGTCGGGAGGACGTCCCAAAGCGCTTCACAGAATATACTGTAAAGTGAATTGACTGTATATTTGTGGGCGAACGCGGCAGCCAATTGCGCACAGCAATGTCCCACAAACAGTCGTAGATTGAAAATGACCAATTTATTATTGTTTTGGGTTTTTGGAGGGATTATTATTAGGCTCTGTGTGGAGTAAGGAAACTTGCCCAAGGTTTCGCCCTCTGCCTGGAATTGAACCCAGGTCTCTCGCTTGCAAAGCGAGCGCTCTAACCACTGAGCTACAGGACTCCACATATCCCTTAATACACTGGTCAAACAAAAATCTATCCACCTCAGTCTTGAAAATTTGAATGGATCCAGCATCCACAGACTTTTGGGGGAGAGAGTTCTACATTTCCACTACTCTTTGTGAAAAAATGCCTCCTGATTTCACTCCTAACTGGCCTAGCTCTAATTTTAAAACTATGCCCCGTGATCTGGATTCCCCTACCAGACGGAATAGTTTCTCTGTAGCTACCCTGTCGAATCCCTTTATTATTTTAAAAACCTCAATTAGATCACCCTCAACCTTCTAAACTCAAGGGAATAGAGAACAAGTTTATGCAACCTGTCCTTGTGATTTAACCTTTAAGCCCTGGTTTTAAATGTATAACGTATGTCAAATGCTTTTTAACGAAGACTGCTCTATAAAACCATTTAGGGCACTGGATTGACAAACTTCAGTGTTTCCATAGTATTTACATCAATGTCATATGAGACAAGGTTTAAAGTCTCATATTTGAACACCCAGACTGTCATTGGTATAACAGTGTACATTTTTTAACCTCTTATGCCTGACTTATTATTTTCTTCCCATATCCCTATTTTCTATTTCTTTCTCAAATTTTTTCTACTTTTGATTTGATTCGTGTCTCCCATTTTTTAGAAACTAAATTTAGAGCTTTTGAGCCTTGAGCCTTACCTTGTTTTGAGTTGAAAGAACTGGGAAGTTTCCATGGACACATAAAGAATTTGCATGAACAGGGAGTGATGCAGTGAGACGTATTGTGGTGCTGGTTTTATTGAGTGGTACAGATGTTCTGAGGTTGAATTAAATTAAAATGTCAGAAAAACGCTATACTATTATCAATTATAATTCAGATAATGGGTCATGGAAAGGATTGTAACAGTAATGGAATTCACTGCAGTGAATATTGTGACAAATTGAACTGTATAGTGTGCAATGGAACAATGCCCATCCCTCAGTTAAAGAAATGGATTTATCAGTCTCGTCAACATGTGGCTTGGCTGGTGCTGCAGAGTTTATTATGTGTACTTGACATTCATGTGTTTTGCCTTGATGCCTGGACATGTCCCAAGGAAATTTGTAATCTAATAAACATGACTGATATATTATAATAATAATAATAATAATAATAATCCTTGCATTTGATATAGCGCTTTCCACGTCAGGAGGACGTCCCAAAGCGCTTCACAGAACACACTGTAAAGTGAATTGACTGTATATTTGTGGGCAAACGCGGCAGCCAATTGCGCACAGCAATGTCCCACAAACAGTCGTAGATTGAAAATGACCAATTTAATTATTGTTTTTGGTTTTTGGAGGGATTATTATTAGGCGTGTGGAGTAAGGAAACTTGCCCAAGGTTTCGCCCTCTGCCTGGAATTGAACTCAGGTCTCTCGCTTGCAAAGCGAGTGCTCTAACCACTGAGCCACAGGACTCAGGTTATAGGTTATAGGTTAGATGACATTGCTACTGGAAGTAATTTGCAGAATGTTTTACTCAAGAAAAGCGTCTACGTGAAGAAGGGAGAGCAAAATTTTAATCTTTTCCTGCAAATCATTTAATCCAAGGTCTTGCCAGGTTGATGAGACTAATTCTATCAGAACTCTACCAGAAACAAACCTTTGAGAATCTTTCGTCAAACCTGACAAAGTACATTCTTTGACTGAAATTGCATTGAGTTGGCTGTTGATTGAAAGACAGGTTTACAATGCAGGTGGAAACCACACCTTTACTACAGTGTATGGGTGCCACTGCTTTCAATTACACAACTGCTGTAGGGTGTATTCTGCTCTGGATAACATAAGAACATAAGAATTAGGAGCAGGAGTAGGCCATTCGGCCCTTCGTGCCTGCTCCGCCATTCAATAAGATCATGGCTGATCTTCTCACTTAACTCTGATTACCTGCCCTATCCCCATATCCCCTAATCCCTCTATTTTTCAAGAATCTATCAGTCTCAGCCTTGAAAATGTTCAAGGACTGAGCATCTGCAGCCTTCTGGGGTAGTGAATTCCATAAGTTCACTACCCTCTGAGTGAAGAAATGTTTCCTCAACTCTGTTCTAAGAGGCTGACCCTTAATTTTAAGACTGTGACCCCTGGTTATAGATTCTCCTACCAGGGGAAACAGTCCCTCTGTGTCTACTTTATCCAGCCCTTTAAGAATCTTATAAATTTCAATAAGATCCCCCCTAATTCTTCTGTACTCTAGAGAATACAGCCCTAGTTTATTCAGCCTATCCTCATAGGTCAGTCCCCTCATCCCAGGAACTAACCGAGTGAATCTACGCTGCACCCCCTCTAGGGCAAGTATGTCCTTTTTTAAATAAGGAGACCAAAACTGCACACAATACTCTAGGTGCGGTTTCACCAAAGCCCTATACAGTTGCAGCAAGACTTCCCTACTCTTATATTCTAAACCTTTCGAAATGAATGCTAACATGCCGTTCGCCTTCTTAGTTGCTTGCTGCACCTGCAAACTAACTTTTTGGGACTGGTGTACAAGGACACCCAAATCCCTTTGAATACTAACTCTATCTTACTTCTCCCCTTCCAGAAAATAATCTGTTCTTTTATTCTTGCTACCTAGGTGAATAATTTCACACTTGCTAACATTGAATTCCATCTGCCACCTACTTGCCCACTCCCCTAGCCTATCTATATCTTGTTGCAATCTTTTTGCATCATCCTGAGAGCTCACTCTGCTACCTAGTTTAGTATCATCCGCGAATTTAGACACATTACATTCAATGTCCTCGTCCAGATCATTGATGTAAATGGTAAATAGCTGAGGCCCAAGCACTGATCCTTGTGGCACTCCACTAGTTACATCCTGCCAATTCGAGAATGATCCGTTTATCACTACTCTCTGCTTTCTACCCGATAGCCACTCTTCTATCCATGTTAATATTTTCCCATTAATCCCGTGGGCCTTGATCTTGAGTAACAGCCTTTTGTGTGGCACCTTGTCAAATGCCTTCCTAAAATCCAAATATACCACATCTACTGGTTTCCCCTTATCCAACCTGCTGGATACATCCTCAAAAAATTCTAAAAGGTTAGTCAAGCATGACTTCCCTTTTGTAAAGCCATGTTGACTCTGCCTAATCTTTTTATGGTCTTCCAGGTATCCCATAACTACGTCTTTTATTAAGGACTCAAGAATTTTCCCTACAACTGACGTCAAACTAACTGGTCTATAGTTTTCCCTATTTTCTCTCCCACCCTTCTTAAATAGTGGAGTTACGTTTGCAATCTTCCAATCAATGGGAACTTTTCCAGTATCCACAGACTTTTGGAAGATTATAGACATGCCATCCACTATCTCAGTGGCGACCTCCTTTAAAACTCTAGGATGCAGGCCATTCGGTCCAGGGGATTTATCGGTTTTAAGACCGGACAATTTACCTAGAACCATCTCTTTACTAATGTTAATCTCCCTAAGTTGCTCACTAACATTGTCTTCTTGGTCCTCTATTTTTGGTATGTTTCTAGTGTCTTCTACGGTGAAGACTGTAGAAAAATACTTGTTTATTATAATATTTACCCTATTATAATTCCTCCGGACAAATTCATCATTTGAATGTACTTGGAGTGCTGTGGTTTGTTTGGTAAAGTCCATACATTTTTCCATGTGGACTTTAACTGTAATTGCTGTGTGCAATTGGCTGCCGCATATCACCCGCAAAATACAGTCAATTCGCTTTAAAGTATATTCTGTGAAGCGCTTTGAGGCATCTCATAGACATGGTAAAGGCGCAATATCAAATGCAAGGGTTATTCTTATTAATAACATAATAAATAATAATAATACTTACATTGATATAGCGTCTTATCACGTCGTCGAGACATCTCAAAGCACTTCACAGGATATACTGCAAAGTGGTATTGACTGTATGTTCTGTGTTCCACTTATAAACGTACAATTATATTTTACATTTAAAATTGAATTATAGTTAAGTTCCCAGGGCAGTATTTGTGAAATGTACCAAACAGGCAGAGTAGCATTATGCCCACAGTAACTAATTTGCCCCATGGATTTCTCGGAGCTGAATAACTCTCGACACACTGTTCTTATGGCTTATGCCTGAGATGTTGAATGAAATTGTTTTACTGCAATAACTATTTTTTGTTACCCGTCTAAAGTTAACAAAGATCATGGTAGAAGGAGAGAGTGAATATACTAGGGGAAAGATCTTTGAAGAATTCATTACCTTTCTTTTTAAGGAGCTCTAGTTATAAAAGCTTTCATTCACTTGCATTTAATTATTGATTTGCTACACTGCTGATATAATATTGGCAATTTGACACAACGGGGTATTACTTGCACATGTTGCCTGCCTTATTATCTTTGTAGGACTAAAGCAGTTAATTGAACAGATCTACTTCTAACATGAAATATGAATGATTCAAGGGACGTGGGTCATTGCTGTCAGTGCCTCAATCTGACTGAGTCATTTAAATCACAATACTAGTAAGGCTGAGAAAACACAAGTCAGCAGGCCCTCCGAAGCTGGAGTTCAAAACGTGCACTTTCTACAAATAACTGCTTGTTCTAGCAACTATGATTTAAAACATTACTGCCCTTAAATTTCTTGTATCTATAACATTTCAAACAGGCAGGGGTCTAATGTGCCGATGCTATTAAGTATTGTGCTATAAAATGTTACAACAGAGACAAAAGCCATTTGGCCCATCAATCTCACTCTTACTCTTCATACTCCATCCCCTGTAAAATTCATCTTTTTCAAGGATATCTTTTAAGAGAATTTGCTTCAACAACAAAGTTCATAGACTCACACCTTAATTTAAATAAAAAATTATAATATTCCTTATATTTGGTATAGTAGATTTCACATTGGGAGGAATTTCCAAAGCTTTTCACAGGATACATTAGAGTAAAATGGAGTGATTGTGTGTGTTCTGTGGGCTAATGCTGCACCAATTTGTGCACAGCAATATCCCACAAACAGCCATGGAGTTAATGACCAATTTTATTTGGGGGATTGTTGGCCAGAATACTGGGAGAAACTCCCTTCCCTTTTCGAATAGTGCCATGTAATTTTTAACGTCCACCCGAACAGGCGGATGGGACATCGGTTTAACATCTCATCCAAGAGGCGACACCTCCAACATTGCAGCACAACCCCAGCCTTGGAGTGTCAGCTTAGACTGTGTGAGTTCCATGTCCCGACATGGGGTTTGACCCACAACCTTTTGACTCAGAGGTGAGAGTTCTACCAACTGAGCCAGGCTGACACACACATTTCCATTTGATATAGTACCAATAACTATCAAAGCAAAAGTGAATTCAGACTGCAATGCCAGGAGAAAACATTTAGCTATACTCAAGCATACCATGACTTGCCTGACTAGCATTAGATGAAGAAATCTGATCCAGGTAAATATAGGATTAGAGAGAGAGGGAGAGATATACAGCCCTGATATCCCTGCTGTTTTCATATCCACAGTAGGACTAGTCCCAATTAGTGCCCTCTCTATTGTACATGATATAATTCCTCCTGAGACAATGATAACTGGAGAAGGGAGACAAAGACAACTTCACAGACAGTAAGTATTTAGTCAATTTCTTTTAATCATTATTCAGATTCCTCTTCTAGAAGCCGGAAATATCTCCCTGATGTGTGAAATGGATGAGGTAGTAAGACTTTAAACCCAAGAGATTTTCTCAGAGATAATCTGCTTTTTATCAGTAATGCCATTATAATCAGTCTTTGTCCTTTTAACCTGTTTTTTTCCAGTATATATTGACTATACACAATCAAGTATCTGTACTTATGGGTTCTTGTCTACCAGAGACAAATCCTGTGGTAGATTTTAAAAAGCCTGCTTCATGTTCATGTTCCCTGCCTTATCCACTCCACCATCAGTGGGCGAGCTTTCAGTCATTCTTTCCCTGCTTTCTGGAACTTCATCCCAGAGTCTCTAGACAGTGCAACCTCCCTCCCCACCTTCAAAACCTACTCCCCTATCTCTTCAACTATACTTTCAGCCACCTTTCCATCACCACTCACTTGCGGAAATTGACTTCATTTATTTACCGTTTTAAGGATTTAAATATTTTGAAGGCTTGAAAACAGCAACAGCACAGAACACCACAGAGTTTTTGTGAACAAGACCCTGATATATATATATTAACCTGATTTTAAATTGGACTTCCTTTTCAGTGGCACCCTACTCTGCTAACCTTTGAAATTTGTTTTGCTTTAATCTGCTACTTAAGGTTCAATCCGCCAAGCCGATCATTCACACGCAATCTCCTGAAACTTACCCTCATCTTCACCTGAGACTAAAGAAATTAAAGGTAACCTTTGTGAAAGATTTTAGTTTTGATATCCAATCTGTACAATCATTTGCTTTTATTTGGGAGTCTATATGAGGGGAAGGGTGTTTGCTTTCCAGATCACAACCACTGTTTACCTAAAGCGGACAGCGAGTTGTTGTTGCTGCTCTGTAACTAGCAGCTATGAGAGGAAGAGGAGGAGGAGGAGAGTGTGGTTGGAAAGGCTTCCTATTTTTTCTGTTAGAAAAGTGCCTTGTTTTCCCAGATCAATTGACTGAGATCATGAACTCATCATAAGGGGAACTGTTATTAAAAACAAAATGAAAGCGAGGAAAACTTGTAGTGTGTAAAAGTGAGGGACATGTTAACTGTTGCAACATAATCCCGCTGTCTATCTGCAGATAGAAGCTTTCTCTGCCAATGGCAAATCAGATTCAAAGAAAGCGCATCACCTTAATTATCTGTGGGTAATGCACCAAGGAAAATAATATTTGAGTGCTTACTCATAGGGGATTGACATGATAAAATGCAATAAGGTCATTATTGACAGTAAAATAGTCAAACAGCAATAAAAAAAGATAATCCATCCCTGATAAGAGCTGCCTCCCAAGTGTCTAAATAGCCCGAGGGATTCACTCGATTAAGATTCATTCAATTCATAATGCTGATATTTATGGGACTTTACTTGCACAAAATTGGTGCAACATCTGTCTCTAAAGATAGTAACCACACTAAGCAGTCGTTACCAATGAAGCACTTTGGGATATTTCAAGTTAATAATGCACTGTAAAACTGTTCTTTCTGAACAATGAGCGTCGGTGGGCTATTTCACAGGCAGGGAGGGGATTTGTATGAGGTATCAGACTCAAGACCATTCTGTCTTCCTCAACTATCCACACACTTGTAGTTTCCCAGGAGAGGTCATCACATAACAATCGGAAGCAGGAACTCTGACTGTTTTTTAGGGGAGTTGAAGACAACTGTAGACCCCAACTGCAGTTACCTAATTAAGCAGCCAGGAATTGAACCTGCCACCTTAGGTGCATGTGTGTGGCTCAATGCTCCACCAGGCAATCTTTACCCACCAGGCCTCGAGGCGGAGAGGTGACGGAGCTCACAAAACCCTTGGTTTGATTAAGAAACAGCTGGGCAGCTGAGTGGAAAGTACCTTGTGCTAACAGCAAGTGCCCTACTTAATACGTTCTTTAATAATGCTGAGTAGTATTGTTTACTACTGAGACAAGCCATTAAGGTACAATGTTGGTGGAAAATAATTGTAAGTTGTGCCAAAACATGAGGTGGAAAATGATATTGTGCCAGCACTAGTAGTGAGATGTTGCATCAAGTTGGAAGGTAAAACTGCTGTGACTTGTAATAGATTTATTTTAGCAGCCATTTAGCTATTTTTCTGAAACTCGCAGCCCTCCAAGGATTTTTAACTTATAAGTTTGCTGCCATTGGAAAGCCATGTTCTGTCAACCATTACTATTTTGATCGGTCTTTTATGGCTATAGAGATTTTTTTATATAACACAATCCGTTGCTTGTATGTTGGTTTCAAATTGTCCACAGCTTGCCCTCCCCCTAACCACCATTCAGAAAGAAACAGATTGAATAAAAACCTTATGAATGTAGACAAAGTGAACTTTCATTTAATCTACAGACCAAACCCTGTGGAACACAGCTTCAAAATTAATACTGAATTGAAGAACTTAACAAAACTCTGCAGACATTTAAATATTAAGACTAAGGCCAGTTTGAATTTTGAGCCTTTTTCTGACTAACGTGAATTAGTTCTTACCCTCATATCTGCATCATTCTTTAAGGAAGTTATTCCCCAGCAAACAAACCAAATCTCTGAAAGCAGAGTATCAGCATGAATCTTATGCAACCCCTCTTTGGCTATCTCACTGCCCTGGTTCTCTGGTGTAGTGATTTTCCTAAGCTTAGAAAACTAAGATGCTTGCAGTTCAGTGCCATTTAAAATATTCATGAGGAATTCACCTAAAGCCTCAATGTACAATTTAATGCAGAGAAAATTCTTAAAGAAGTTGATTTTAAAAAAAATGTGATGCTCCAAGCTTCAGGAGGACCGTCTTTCTACCATTGAGAGAGATAACCAATTACTGCTCACAAAGATTGCTGGCATTATGAGGACTACAGGACGTGTTGACAACAAGAATGAATACACATCTAAAAGGTAATGCTTTTCATTTTTAGAAAATCTTATGTTATTAATCAGGAAATTTTCACAAGCTTCAATGTTATATCAATCAAAGTAGGGTTCAAAAGTACGATATTTGCAAACCAGAAGTTCCTGTGCTAATTTATTAACACTTCATGAATGAAGTTTCAAGGTTAGCCATGAAATTCAATGAAAAAAGGGGAAACAATTCCTGATCCTGAAGGTTGGCAAAGGCCAATTTGCATCCAGCATTATGGTTTTTGTGCTTTTTGTTAGACTTTTCTTGGATGTCCCAATTTTCCCAAGATGAAAAAGCCAGTTGCGATTGGAAACCAGAGATTTGAGTTGGCATGACAAAATTACAGTTAAAGCAGGATTCTCTGATTTGGAATTCAGAATTTTCATTCATGAATCTTATTAGAAATCGCTGCAAACTAGACCCCAGTGACTGTCAGGCCTAGAAGTAGTGTAAGTGATGGCTTTTCACACAAGTGAAAATATCTTTATAAGTTATAGGACTCTTTACTGTTGTGCAGTAGGTAATGTAGAATGGATTTCCAGATAAGGCAGTTAATGTTGTATCAACAGAAGTCTGTATAAAAGAGTCAGCTGGATATCTGGGTTGGGAACTGAACTGAAGACAATGGTGACAATTGAATGGTGTGTAGACTATGGTGGTTCCTTAGCCTCTAGAGTTATTGAATTATTATACCATTAGAGAGAAACTAGTCTAAGATATACAGTGCAAGAGGTAAGATTAGAGAAGTATTCTGCTGCTCTGCTTGATTCACTTTTGGAAGATTTGAGAGAAACTTTGTCAAACCTTTTCTAGAGAGATGAAATGGACCGTGTCTGATTTGTGAGTGAAAATGGCTTAATGAGCATTTTCTTATTCCATGGTTTCTTATTTTTAAGTGCTCAAAATACATAAACCCATTAAATATTGAATAGCCATGTTTTTATCAATAGTTTAAATAAAGAGAAGCATCAGAAAGAGCTGCTGAGAGTCTCTCGGGAGAACAAAGCCATCCTGGAACGCATTAGACACTGTGAGCCACAGTACAACCATCTCAAGTGGCACGAAGAGCGGCATGAAGCTGAGAAGTACATGGATAACATTGCTCGATACCCCCGAGGCTACTCCAGTGCAGAAAACACAAAGGTACATTCCTGTAGGGCATAAGTACTGCTCTCTGCTAATTTATTCTGACATACACATACAATGGAATAGAGAAAGGGGCCTCTAAACCGCAATGTTCCTGCATAGTGAAGCTTTCTCTCCTCTACCTCAACAGCAGGCCTTTAATGCCAAATTTCTGAAGAGTGCCCCCTACTGCACAATTGACCAGCCACCCTACGAGTGAGATTAGCAATTATTTCTGGCGCTTTAACTAATAGGAATTAGGATGGCCTGTCCAAAGAGATTTCACTTTTAGTCTTCAAAAGATACTTAAACTAATTTGACAGGAACATCCACTGGTAACTTATGACCACTCTGAAGTTAACCTTTTCATATTATAAAATGGGGAGTTTATAAATCTAGAACAGGGATCTCCAACCGATCGATCACCACTAGGTTTAAACTTTTACTTCTTGCACCTGGCTTTGTTTTCAATTGGGCTAAATAGTTACGCAGTTCTGTCACTCCTTCCTCTTGTATTTTGGATCATGCTCGACAGGGCCACCTGGCAGAGATCGATCAGTTGGAGACCCCTGATCTAGACCCAGGAGATATTGTTCACGATTCAGAAGTGTAAAAATGAGCAGAGTTCAGAATTTATTACTCTCCATAGAAAGTGGTGAATAATGTGGTTTAAGAATAAGATAATCCTTGCATTTGATAAAGCACCTTATCACATCTTGGAGACATCCCAAAGCACTTCACAGAATATACTGTAAAGGGAATTGACTGTATATTTTGTGGGTGAAATCAACAATCTAGGTGTAGACTACTCAGGCAAGTGGTAGAGGAAGATTGTGTCAGAAAATTCAAGAAGACATTAGGTAGCTATGTGGCAAAGCAATTAATTGACGAGAATGAAACAGAGCAGTGAAGGATTACTTATTAATTTATTATGTTTATATATTTTTCCGGTGCTGTACATTTCTATATTCCTAAATATCGGTAGAAAGCATTCAGTAGAAACATAGTTTCCAAATTTAAAGGAACAGTTTGAAGCTGTTCAGCCTCCCCAATGATACATAGTTTACTGAAGCTTCATTCATTGTGACTACTTTTATTCATCTACAAATGAAACACAGGCCTGGCTCACTTGCTGGATCTTGCCTCTGAGTCGGAAAGTTCTGAGTTCAAGCCCCATAACAGGTCTTTAAATTCACAGTTTAGACCAACGCTACAATCCAGTGCTGGGGGGGAGGGGTGCTGCAGCGTGAAAGGTGTGGGCCTTCAGATGAACCATTAAACCAAGGTCCTGTCTGTGGTTATTCAGGTGGACAATAAAGGTCCCCTGTCAATTGAAAAGAGAAAGGAGTTTTATTCAGTATCCTAGTTGATAATCTCCCAAGAGGACAAAAAAGTGGGTACTCATTTCATAGGTATTTGTGAGTTTTGAGTAAATTGTTTGTTACATTCCCCTACAAATATAATCACTAAACTTCATTGTAAAGTTATATGAAACACTTTGAGCCATCTCAGCAACATGATAAGGCACAAAAGCAATTACAAGAATTAATATTATAAATGATTTTTTTTTCCAGTCTAAATCTAAAAGAAGCAGGACAGCATTAGCTAAAGAACCAAACAAAGGTACAAACCAGGAGAAGAATGGTCCTGAGAAAAAGACTAAAGAAAACACAGACAACGCAGGTCACGGATCAAATGAAAGTAACTGAAAGAAGTTGACCACTAGATATTTGCCACCCTTATCTCAACCAATTCCACTCATTCCTTGTATAGATTCCTTTGCAAAACTGAGATTTTTTCTGAGATTTTCCCCCAAAGTTGTAAGACAAGCTGAAATTACCTTTTGGAACAAGTTTAGAATTGACAAATCTCAAATGTACATTTAGGATATGGGTTTGAATTCAACAGAGACTAATAATGAATGTAAATCTGTTAGTTATTATTGTTCTTAATGCATTGAGTTTGGAAATTGCAATTCAGAGGAGGGAATTATATCTTTCGCTCTCCTTGAATGTTGGCTTTAGCATTGCGGCTAATTCTGTGCTTATGAGTGCAGGAACCACAGATGATTATGATTGATGCTCACAAATATAATTACTACACTGCATCGTTCATCTTCGTGTTTAACCAATCTGTACTAAACAAATTCTTTGAAATGCATTCTTCAGTCCTAATAACACCACATGAGTTATACAGTTTGTACATGGGAAGTACACGCATTGGTAATGCATGCAAAACGATTTACATAGATTTGCATAGACTACTGCACAGAAACAGGGCATTTTGCCCAAACCACCCCATGCTAGTGTTTATAGTGCTCACCAGTCTCCACCCATTCCTTATTCCCTCCCATACCCTTCTAATCTCTCTCCCTTATATGTATATCTAGTTTTTTCTTAATAAGATAGAGAATGTATGTTTGAAAACAAAGAAAAAGATGAGACAATTGAGCAAATCTTGGTCCAGATCGATCACATGAATCACTCTTTGGTGTTTGGTTCGTCAGGTAAGCATGATTTAAGTGAAAATGTATTTGTTACGTGTCTTACACGAATTACATTTAGAAATAATTGTTATTAAGCAGTTAGTGTGTGACATTTTTTCCCCCATTACATCTAGGCTCAACTACGCCAATGCCCTGCTTGACGGCCTTCCCCACTCTTCTTTCCACAAGCTGCAGATTTTCCAGAACCCGCAGCTCATGTTCTCTCCCGCACCAGGCTCCGTGACCCCATTACACCCACCCTTGCCCGGCTCCACTGCCTCCCCATCCCTCAGAGGATCGAATTCAAAATCCTTGTCCTCACCTTCAAGGCTCTCCATGGCCTTGCCCTCTCCTACGTCTCCGACCTGCTAACCCCTTATCAACCTGTCCGCTCCCTTCGCTCAGCAGGCTCCGGACTGCTCCATGTCTGCCGCCCGGCCTGCCCCACCATCGGCGGTTTGGCCTTCAGTCTCACTGCTCCCTATGGAACTCCATCGCCGCTTCCCTTGCATCCTTCAAGACCCTTCTCTTCAATCGTGCCTTCGTCCATCCTCCTTGTCTCCCTGTCCTCCACCCTCCCTGATCCAATCCCCACCCCTTCCCCAAACCACCGACTGTTCAGCGCCTTGGGACATCCTCCCGATATGAAAGGCTCATTACAAATGTATTGCATTTTCAGTCTTAACTGATCATGAAGGAATTGTTAGATTAGGGTGAAGTTAATTATTACAAGGAATGCTTTATGAAACACTCAAGACTTTAACCTGTTATTCCTAGATTACATATTTAGGTATTTTGTGCCTGTACTACTTAGTTTGTTATTTTTGTTCTGCACATTGTGTGGGCACAACATTAAATATATTTAGTACTTTAGGGTCCCAGAAAAATAATTTTTCCCCAGTCATTCTCACCTGGTCAAAACTGAGTGTAACATTGGGGCTGACCCGGAAACAGACTCCATCTCATTCTGTTGCAGGAGACAGACCGTGTGTGACGAGGAAAATAGGGGAGAATAGAATGAAGTGCAATACAAGTAGATACTTACCTTCAAATACTTTCCCATAAGATGGGCTGCAAAACAGGATTTCTGGAGTGTGAATCCAGCGTTGATAATCTCCTGAATTCAGTGATAAAAGGAAGCAAATATAACAATGATAAATCATGCATTTGATATAGCACCTTAACACATCTTAGGGACATCTCAAATCGCTTCACAGGATTTACTACTGAGAAGTGTAGTGAGTGTGTATTTAAGGTTGAATGTTCTATATTGTGCCACTTGCACTGCCTGGACTCTAAAATCCTAAATATAGTTAATGCTGTGTCCACTCAATGTCCAGGGAAGGGAAGCGCAGACTTTCAAACTATAAACTAGTTCCCAATTCAAAAATATAATTGAAGACCAGAGCATAAAATGACATTACTTGGGTAAATGCGGGCATTGCAGCAACCTGCGAGTGATCAGAATACCTGAGAAGATTTTCTATAATCTTTCCTCAAACAGAGGAAAGGAATAGATGTGGCCTGGGATCAAGCATACAGAACCCTGGCCCCCACCTTTCCTTCCCATCGTCAGATCCCCATATGACAAGAGCCTTTGTCATCGAGGTACATGATTTTAAAACAAAGGAACATGGCAAGAACATGTGTGATGAGAAACTTGTCTATCCAGAGTAGCAAAATATCTATCCTAATAATTTCTCCTCCAACCTACTGAGTAAGGGAAGGCCTTTGACAATGCCAAGAAGGCACTCTGTGACAACAACAACTTACATTTGTACAGTGCCTTTCATGTCTGGAGGACGTCCCAAGGTACTAGACAATCAGGGATTTGGACCCCAGCAAGGGGCTGGGATCAGGATAGGTGGAGGGCAAGGAGGATAGGAGGGTGGCCAAAGACGCGGTCAAAGAATAGATTCTTGAGACATACCTTGAAGAAGGCAAGGAAGGGAGCAAGGCGAAGGGACTATGGAATGCAGTTCCAAAGAATGGGGCAGAGAGGCTGAAGGCCCAACTGCCAATGGTGGGTGGACCAGGCGGACAGGTTGGTATGTGGTTAGCAGACCACAGAGTAGGAAGGCGCAAGATCATGGAGGGCTTTGACGGTGAGGATTGTGAACTCTATCCTCTGGGGGATGGGGAGCCAGTGAAGCCGGCCAAGGGTGGGGGTGATGGGGTTGTGCGGGAGAGGATGCAAGCTTCAGAGTTCTGGATGATCTGCAGGTTGTGGAGGGAGAGTTGGGAAGGCCGACAAGCAGGGAGTTTGCGTAGTTGAGCCTAGATGTAATAAATGCGTGGGTGAGAGTTTGAGGTAAGTGGCGGAGCCGGCGATGTTGTGGAAGTGGGGGAAGGTAGAACGGGTCATGGCATGGATGTGGGGTAGAAAGGACAGTTTAAGGTCAAACAAAATGTAAAGGTTACGAACTGGCTCAGTGAGGTGAAGTGTGCATCCTTGAATGGTGATGCTGCCAGTGCTTGAGGTGTGGAGGCGCTGACGGGAGCCAATCAGGAGAGCCTTGGTCTTGTTGACATTCAACTAGAGAAAGTTAGTTCTCATCCAGGACTTCATGTCTGAAAGACTTTCTATCAGGACAACAGTGGTCCTGGAATTGAGGGTGGAGACTGAGGGTGGAGGCTCTACATACTCCCACTTGGTGACGTTATCCGCAGACTTTCCACATGTTTGCGGATGACACCCAACTCTACCTCTCTGCCTCCACCCTGAACTCCAGGACGACTGGCGTCCTGACTGACTGCCGTCTGAAATCAAGTCCTGGACGAGGGCCAACTTTCTCCAACTCAACGTCAGCAAGACTGAGGCCCTCCTGATCGGCTCGCGCCAGCGCCTCCGCACCTCAGGCACTGGCAGCATCAGCTTCCACGGCTTCACACTCAATCTCACTAAGCCAGTCAGGAACCTGGGTATCTTGTTTGACCCTGAACTGTCCTTTCTCCCCCATATCCACGCCATGACTGGCACTGCCTACCACCACCTCCACAATATTGCCAGACTCTGCCACTGCCTCACCCCTCAGGCTGCCAAAACCCTCACCCACGCATTCGTCACCTCAAGGCTTGATTACGGGAACTCCCTCCTCATCGGCCTTCCCAACTCTTCCCTTCACAAACTGCAGATCATCCAAAACTCTGCAGCTTGTGTACTCTCACGCACCAGGCTCCATCACTCCCACCCTCGCCCGACTCCACTGGCTCCCCATCCCCAGAGGATCGAGTTCAAGATCCTCGTCCTCACTTTCAAGGCCATCCATGGCCTTGCCCCCTCCTACCTCTCTGACCTGCTGACTCCCTACGAGCCTGTCCGCTCCCTCCGTTCATTAGGCTGCGGCCTGCTCCATGTCTCCCGTCCGACCCGCCCTACCATCGGTGGCTGGGCTTTCAGCCTCTCTGCCCCCACACTCTGGAACTCCATCCCACGGTCCCTTCGCATCGGTTCCTCCCTTGCCTCCTTGAAGGTCGGTCTCAAGACTTTCTCTTCGACCGTGCCTTTGGTCTCCCTCCCAACTTTCTGCCTTCCCTCACCCCTATACCATCCCCCCTCCCCCATGCTCGGACCCCAACACTTGACTGTTTATTGCTTTGGGACGTCCTCCCGACATGAAGGGCGCTCTATAAAGGTAATTTTGTTGTTGTTGTTGAGATAGAGTTTGGTATCATCCACATACACATTGACCCCATGTCTGCGGATGATGCCACCAAGAGGAAGCATGTACATGTTGAAGAGAAGAGGACCAAGGACAGAGCCATGAGGAATGCCGCACGAGAACCTGCAGGGACTGGAGGAGATAACGTTTGTGGAAACAAAGTGGAGATGGCGTGAAAGGCAGAATCTGAACCAGTCAAGGACAACAACAACAAAATTTCATTGTATACAGAACCATGAAGATTGAGGCTGTAAGGTGATTTGCTTTGGTAACCTCGAGGTAAAAATAAGACAAACATTCAGGCAATTAAGATGTTATAATTCATCTGGATTTATAGTTAATGAGTAAAATCAATGTTAAAAACAGCTGTGGAATACAACTCACGACTGTCGGGTGACCACACCGTCTCCTGGACGAAATAGAGGAACGGTACGTTTCATGTCGTCCAGCCAGATCTGCCGATGGGCCGCTAAGTTAGATTTGAACCAGGTATGTGAGCTGGTAGCACGCACCTGTGCCTTGAGTGAGCAGAGGTGGCTGGTGTACCAGGGTGAGGTTCAGGAGTAGGAGGTGGTTTGGAAAGTGAGGGGGGCAAGGGCATCAAGAATGGCGGAGAGGGAGTTATGGAGGAGAGTGACCGAGAAGGATAAGTTGTTGTGCAAGC